GCAGTGGAAACATTACCGCTTTTGTCCACAGGGGGCACCATAATCAACACGAAATAAGTAGTATTACTCTTTATAGTGATTTATTGTTCTGATCTGATTTATTACAACACACATACTTCTATTTCCCTTACTGACCCACCATTCAACCCATGGCACTACACTACCAGGGATGACTTTCATATTATACTGCCCACTGGAGGTAACGTGTTGACAATGAGGTAATGTCAGGGCTCTCAGTCTTACACTCTTCAGCCTATATTTAACTAAAGGTTGCTTTACATGTGCGCCAGTACAAGTGAACAGTTGCTTTACAGTCAGATATAATGAAAATTATAGTAGTTGAACTAATGCATTACAGTTCTGTACTTCTTTCCCAGTCATGACGTCAATGGACATTGCCTTATAGCGCTGACCACCTACACACTGGGCACACAGACCACAGGCCGTTGTGCATTATAAGCATTACCACTCTGCTCACGTATAACACCTTCATGTTTTCTAATCACAGAACTTTTCAGGCTTCAGATGATACCAGCTGTATGGCTGTTAGAGTCTTTCATCGATGTAAACGTCAGGATGTTATGAAAATGTATTCTAAAAGAGCATACATTTCAAAATGTTCCATATTTCTAAGTCTGTTGACATATATATCTCTAAGTTTCATGACATTTGTTTGTGGCTCCTTTTGAAGCCGTTTCTTCCCCGTGGAGTAATTATTCATGTCAAGAAAACTAGCTCACAGTGAGTTTCTGGGTCAGTGGAAGAGAGAGGCTGGTGAACAAAGCAGCCACACACTGCTGAGCTTGTAATTACAATTAGTTGTGTGGTTGGCTGACAGCTCCTGCTGAATTAGGACGTTTCTGACCCAGAATTCACATTTTAATATGAATTCAGAAACTATTTATTGTTTAAACTATTCAGAGGATAAGGGAAGTGTGTTGTGTTTTGACATTTTTTTGTTCCTGTTTCCACCGAGGCTTAGTATGCAAATATAAACCCACCAGTGAATCTGCCACAGCCAGAAGCAGGTACTGTCTGTTCTGCATATAGTCTGACCTCTCTGAAGTCAGAGGCTCCCAGTGTTCAAACGTCTGTAGACACACTGTTGCCCTGGAAATACTGAGCAGCACTTGTACTTCAGTTTTTGCTAATATAACAATAGGGCGTAGAGTTTAATTTGTTGGGATTATTTTGCCTATATTGTACCCTATGATATGTAGTGGCGATGAAGAGGCAAAATAAAACTTACAGAGGAAGTAACAGTCAACTCTTTATCTCAGTTCTGGCGTACTTCTTCAACCGCAATGATTATGACTTTATAAAATCATGTTTTGAGGTATCAAAACTTACGTCTGAAAGTTGCAGTCGTTTTAAATGCAATTTCAAGATCCCCTCCAGACATGTATTAAGACATATACAGAGTATGCTTGGAACAATAATAGTGTGTCTGAAAACAGTATAATTTCCACATTAAAATCCTTAAAAAAGACATCTCCTCCTTCTGCCTCATTAAAAATTCCAGAATCTATGAATATGCAAATTCTGTTCATTTCTAAAGTTTTCCTGCTGGATGCAAGATGTCTCCTACTTCACTGGAAAGTCCGTTTTCAGTGGATGTGCACTGGAGGCTTCAAGTCTCTACATCACGTAAATGATTCTCAGAGATCACAGAGAAATTTTACACTTTAAGCAGATGAATGTTAAAACATGCTTCTAGGGGCGTCCGGGTGGCTCAGTGGGTAGGGCTGTACCGAGGCTGAGTCCTCGCTGCAGCGGCCCAGGGCTTGAATCCGACCTGCGGCCCTTTGCTGCGTGTCATCCCCTCTCTCTGCCCCCCTTTGCTGTCTGTATTCAGCTGTCAATATCATAAAGGCAATAAAAGCCCCAAAAAATAGTAGAAAAAAAAACCATGCTTCTAGTGTGAAACCCTGCACACTGTTTCCGTGCTGATAGGAGTCTACTATTACTCTGCAATTCGGACACATATCACAAACTTCAGGGGTACATCCACAGTTACGAGGGGGTACCTGAAAAGACTGTGGAATAACTCAGTTTTAGCAAAATAAAAGCCAATATTGAATATTGTGTACTGTCTTAGCTACTAAATGTGAGCACATTATTTTCATCTGAAGACGCTTTGTCTTCAGCTCCAGGTGACCTAAACAAGCAGCTGCATCGTTATATCTGACCGTTGGGACGTATAAAGAGTGATTATTGGCACAAACTTATAAAGTCTGAAGCTGTGTAGACCACCTATAGCTTTTGTGTTTCATTTATTAACCACAGTCACAATATTGGTGAGCTGATACGCCTCATATGGAATGCAGCCATCATTCATTTATGTTATAAGTAACACCTGTGCTTTCCACTGTACGTCAAAATGTCTTCTGTGCAGAAGATCTATTTTTCCCAATTCGTTTATTACGGATTGTCTTTTTTTCTTTATTTTTAATATTCATTATTCTGAATCTCTCTGTCTTGTCGTCCTGCCCAACCTCAGGAGAAGACCAGAGTAGTTCCTGTGCGCTCCTCTTCAGAATACGGCCGCCGTCCTGTTCCCATCCTCTACCAACCGGGTCGGCAATACTCACGTGTGGCTAGCCTAAAAGCTGAATACATGAAAAATGGGATCATCTGGAGTGTGGCAGAAGGCTACGGATCAGTGGGCCCTATTTGAAAGCCTGAAGTATCCCAGCATGAGATCAAAGTCTTCACGCTGTAAAAGCATTTATTAATAAACCAGTGTTGTAGTGTGTAGATCTCAGTTTACTTGATGGCACTTCATCCGTCATGTTAAAGGTCCAGTGTGTAACATTTGAGGATCTGTTGGTAGAAATGGAATATAATATTCATAGGTGTGTTTTCATTAGTGTATAATGTTTAACCGCTGTGTTTCTACAGTAGCCCAGAACGGACAAACCAAACACTGGCTCTAGATAGGGCCTTTTTGGGTCTTTGTGAGTCTTTGTAGTTTCTCCTGTAAGCTTGGAAGGCTGAGCTGTATTCAAATGGTTGCAATCTGTAACCTAACCACTAGATGTCACTGAATCTTACACAATGGTCCTTTATTCAGAGGACATTTAATTACGATGTATTAGTATCATATGCTGATAATTAATGAGAAAAGTTGTTATTTTCAGAGAAATATTATCTGTTAAAAGACCTTAAAGAATAAATCCGAAAATATGAAGACAGTGACATTTTCCAGGAAGCTCAAGCTACATTTTATAGTTTGGGGCTGAAATCGCTCCATCAGTGTGAGCGCCATTTAAAGGTTCGTGTGGTGCAGACAGTCTATAAATCAAAGAGCGTCTTCCAGTTATTGCAGCTCAATATTGCTCATGATACCAACGATCAGAGTCTTGGTGTTCCGCTTTCTGCCTTCAGTATAATGGCTGTTTTTATTATGGGACTGAATGTCCTGGAGGATAGGCACAATGTGAATTCTTAAACTGACAGGATTTCTCTATTGAGCATGCCACTGACTACTGAAAGAGAAGAATTTACATAAACTGTAGAAGTTACAAAAAAGTGCTTCAACCAAACCTACAATCATTCATTCTGAGCACATTCATACTCATATTCACGGCTATAGGTTGCTGGTGTTTGTTCTCCCCTCTGTTTCCTCCTATGCAGTTGATTATTTTGTTACCCTCGCCTTGTGTGAACAGTTCTTTTTGTGCATCACTAACCTCTTTGATTCCCTAGTTCTTGGATTATTTTTGAATATAACTTTTGAACGTACGCAACCGAGAACAACCTCCCACATATTAGGATGTGTTTGAGCGCAGGGATCTCTCATTTGCTTCCACCTTTGTACTCTGACAGAAATAGACCCTTTATTCTTACAAATGATACAGAATTTCAGTGTATTTGGTGTCAGAACTGCAGTGTTTATTTAGGAGGATCAGGAGCTAATACACAAGGTGGCTTTTCGAAAGTAGAAAGTAAAAAAAATAGCAAAATGACAATGTTGTGATACAGATTAGTATTTAGTCACAGAAGCCTTTGGTTTCACACGTCAGTCAGCAGATTTATCCTCAGAGATTTCTGTGCAGTCCCGCAGTAAAGCTTAATGCATCACAGGGCATTTCACCTGGACGGCCCTTATTATTACCACAGGTATTGGCAATACAATCATTTCTGAATGTTCATATTTTATAAATATTTTAAAAGAAAAAATAAATCTGATATAAGTACTCCTTAAAAGTATTAACAGAGACATTGGTATTTTTTTATTAAAGGGTATGTTGGTAAATGTGATAAAGGTAGTGGAGCTACTCTAAAATAGACACCAGTGTTCATTCTGCATGTTTGACGACTACAATAAATACATCTGCCAAATGAAACCCTGTATTGTCTCTAATCATTCAAACTAATGATCTTACAAGCCTTTGACTTTATTGTGATCGCATCCTGTGAATGTTTATACTGTCACGAGTATTTTCTGGTGCACTCAAAGCAGTAAAACAAACGCACAAAGACACAAGACGTTGATTTATATACAAATGTTTAATGAATAACAAAAGGGGATGGCAGTGAACATTTACACACAATGCTGTTGGTTTGATTCCAGATGGATTATAAAAAAAGAAACCTCTACTTTCCTCTTGTATCCTGTGCCTGAGTCCTCCTACTCTTCAGCGGGACACAAACGCAGCTCTAAAGCTATAAATACAATTCACAGGTTTTGGCAAACTACCCATCACACTGGCGATTTGTTGGCATCCACTGCTCTATATGACAATAAACTATTGTAACATCCATTTGGAATTAGAATGGAACAAACCGGCTCACAGTTCCAACCAGGCAGATATAAAAAAGCACAGCTCGACAGGCAGCTCAGTTTGCTCAAGTGTAAGGCTCTGAAGCACTGCAACACTGGCATGAGTAATTAGCTCCACACCACTACTATTGTACAGACGGGTGACTGCGGTCCTTGAGAGCTGCACTAATTTAGCAAACCTCTCTTTGGACAGGCACTCCTTTAGACAGTGAAGAGCCAAGTCCTTGCTACACTTGAGAAGTGAAAACCATCCAGAATGCAGCGTTGAAGGACTGTGGCGGTGCACCTCGGCCCTGCTCTACATTGTGTTGCTAAGGACGAAACTAGTTCTGGACAATTGTCTATCCATTGTACTGCTGGTCTCTGGTAATGGGTTTTAGTTACGGCGCATGACAAAGCACTTCTACGGCCACTTTGTGTGTGTGATTGTGTTCTCAAGTCTTGTTTGTTCGGTTCGTGTGGCAGGCTCAAGGCATCACAGTCCCTTGTGACAGAGATCGGGTCATCTCTGTGTGGACAAAGTAGGTCCTCAGCTCTCCTTTGCCCTTGACGTTAATGATGCCGCGACATGAACACATGTACCCTAGTACTGATAAGATATGACTTGTCTCCTCTGTTACCTGTGTGGAAAGAAAGAAACATGAAGAATAAATCGTTTACTAGCATTCTGGGAGATGCTGTATGTTTGTAAGACATCCCACCTGTATTTTTCCCAGTACCCCAGTGGTTTCCATCCTACTGGCCACGTTCACACTGTTTCCCCAGATGTCATACTGGGGTTTCTGGGCCCCGATAACCCCTGCAATCACTGGCCCATGGTTTATCCCTAGCAAAAAAACACCAATCCACAAATGACGTTTCTGAGTCTTTAGAATAATCACAGATCATCAGCTTTAACTTTTGCTCTTAAACAGGAGGAAATCACTTAAATGTTCATATTGAAGAGAACAGTGAAGAAATGTTCTCACCAATTCTGAGTCTGAAGTCGTTGAAGGAGTGTTTGTTGATGACATCGAGCTTCCCCACAAGAGCAAAGGCAAACTCCACCATGGTGCCAATGTGCATGTACTGTCTGTCATGTTCCTGAGGGGAATGCAGAGTGGGAGGAAATAAGTTAAAGGTGCAATCTGACCCATGATTGGACCTTAATATGTCATTAACAGTAATAACGGGATGGCTGTAAATACATCAGACTGCTATCACCATGAATCTCAATTTCATGCAATAAAATTAAATTATTGATTAAAACTTGCATCCTCAAGAAGATAAACACTTTATATATTTGTAGCTCACTTTCATTCGGTTTTGTGCTGTAAATCAATATATTTTTGTTGCTAAACCTCTCCTCCTAACAGCAATTTTATTTTTTTGAACCAGAGTTAGCATTATTTAACTAACTAGCTTTAGCTAATAAATCTGCCTGTGGCTGCTGTTACTTCAGCTGACAAAATGGAAGAATGAGAAACCTTCTGTATGAAATAAAATACCCATTGCTACAATAACCACTAAAAAGTATAGCAGTAAGCCGCTGTTATCAGTGTAAACTGCATTATGTGTGGTGTGCTAAACCTTGACAGGCATAGCAACGGTAACTAAGGGGGGGTGGGGTTTAATGAATGGTCAATTAAGAAGATCTCCTACCAATCAGGGGGATTTCCTTTTTAAAACAATGTGCTGCTACATTTCTGAGTGATGATCTCATTTCCTTGCAGTGATGCATTCATGAGTGTAGTAATGAATCACTGAAGCGTGTTATATTATGTGTAGCACATTTTAAGGAGCAACCCACACAAAGCTTCCAAATGTATTTGGACAGCAATAAATACTTTGATGCTTAAGCTTCATCCTGTTTTGTGACCATAAATGAAAAATGACAAGTTGATTGAATCTGAGCTCAGCATGCCAAAACTGTTTTGGCACTTTGAAATGGGGTGAAGAGGGTCTTGTTCTTTGTCTGCTCTTCTATTGTCAAATATGAGCTCTAAGGAAAGCTGGACAGTAGGATCTTTAACCTCATAGTCAGTGTGTTACTTTGTCCAATGTGGAGGAAACACTGGAGATCCCCTCTACACACACAGACACATTGTCTGCTTGGAACAATCATTTTTTTGTCTAATATATATTTTTTCTACCAAAAATGTTAAATTTCCACATTAGAATCCTTATAAAGGGATCTACTCCTTTTACCTTCTTATAAATTATATATGCTAATTCTGTTCATTTCCAAAGTTTTCCTGCTGGAAAACGTCTCTGTAAGGTCCATTCTCAGTGTGTGTGCACTGTGGGCTTCGGGTTTCTACACATAAATTAGAAATTGGACTGACTTCCAAACTAGTTGTCATAATGTCATAAATCATACTCGTATGCCCCGCCCCTTAAGTCAGATTTTCAGTGAGCACAGA